TCTGTATTTTATTTTGAAGGAGAAAGCTACAGACTACGTCTTTGATCATACAGAATATCCTGCCCTTGATAATCAGTCAAACCCCTTTACATGGTAACTATTTGTCTCCCCCTGCTGGACAGACGAGGTAACTGCAGGTTGTCAGAGCAGTTGTATGCAGCATGTTCTTCATCTTTCATGTTTTATTTTTGCATATTTATGAATATTGTTGAGTTGGTTCAGTTATTCTTTATGTGCCTGAAAAGCCTTCTCCCTCACATGAAACAGCGGTTATTGATTTTATTTTGAAGGTCTTCTTGGAGCTCTTACAAACTTTCACCTCTTGACTGTTTTTGTTGATCCCGTTTGATCGATGGAATCTGCAGATTAAAATCAATTAAACATCAGAGTTAACGCTGATGATCCGGATCATGTCTTTAGCTCCTCCTCCAACCACAGAACCAGATTCTGGACTCTTGAGGTTTTGTCTTCCCGTCGATGTTATTTTATTCTTTCAGAGATGAAATCAATCTGTGCCTTCTCCTGAGCAACACTCAGACGAGGATTCAGCCCGACATGTCGTTTTATTTTCTACATTAAACTGAAATGATCTCACGTTTGTCTTTGTTGTGTTTTCTTTCTTCGATTGGGCGGCTGTGGCTCAGTGGTAGAGTCAGTCAGGGGGTTCGATCCCCAGCTCCTGCAGCCACATGTCGATGTGTCTGTGAGCAAGAAGTCAAAGACGCTCCCGCTGCTCGGTCTGTGAAAAGTGTTGATGAGACCAGGACACTAGTGAGCACCATCAGACAGAAACAGACACGGGCAGAGAAGATAACTATTTTAATTTCTTGTGTACACTAAAAGTAAAATTTACACACGTATAGTCTCAAAAGAACCCGGGCATGCACGATAACCTTTTGACAGGCTCTTCAAGTGATTCAGTTTTTTTCCATAGGAATTTCCCCGTACATTTTACAGCCCATAGTTTTAACTGTACACAGTCTAAAGCCACAGTGAACTATGATTACATCCATCTCATCTTTACAATGTGCAAAATCCTCCTGGTAGACGGCGCTGACAGTAGTATGAGCAAAAAAACAAAAAAAACAATTAAGAGGCGCGGACGAACAACGGAGAGCACTTCATATGAGGAACAAAAAGTCAACACACGTGGAAGCCGAAAATTGGTCCCTAAATTCCCTTCTGATGCGAGTCGACCTTCACTGCCGGGAAACCTTCTTCCAGTTTCAGTGGTTTTAACAAACAAATAAACAAATAAAAAGTCCCGTTTTTACCCCCCGAGGGAGAAGGAAAACAAAGAGCGAGAGAGCGAACGACGAAGGAAACATGTTTTTAATCCACCTGAACGAAGCAGCTGGAGAATCCGTCAAAACCTTTAAAGGTGACATATCCTCCTCTTCTTCAGTGTAAATAAGTCTCAGAGCTCCTCAAAACATGTGTGTGAAGTTTCTTGTTCTAAATCCACTCTGATCCTGTATTTGATCATGTCTATAAACCCCTCTATTTCAGCCCTGCTCAGAACAGGCTGTTTCTGTGTCTGTACCTTTAAATATGTAAATGAGCTGTGTCTGACCACGCCCCCTCTCTGGAAGGGCTTGGGTGTATTCGGTCTTTCTCGCTCCATGTCCTATTGTTTACGGTGAGAAGGCAGACTCAGAGGGCAGAACAAACACCTAGCTGTGGGAGTGTCACCCACCTGGGGGAGGGGCTACTGCCCTTTGTGATGTCATGAAGGGAAAATCTCCAAACGGCCTGTTTAAGCACACATTTTCTGAAAAGTGAAGCAGGCAGAGGATGGAGAGGATGGACTTTTCTCATCATTGGGGGGTTTGTAGACGGACTAGAGACACATGTTAGAGTTAGAGGAACATAAATAAATATGTCACCTTTAAAGGTGGAGTCAAAACTGAAACAGATTCTCCAGCGTTCAATCAGCGGAGGTTCCCCCCCCCCCCCCCCCCCGAGGTACAGAACAGAGATATATGAGCGGACTGCAGCAACAGAGGTTCAGACATAATTAATGTTAAAATCGATGTTAAATTAGGAAAGAAAAGGACAGAGGATCGGGGTTAAAGCGGTAAAAAACGAAGGCGTTGAGACGCAGCGAGGAGACGAACATTCAGCGGGATTTTGCAGGCAGTGTGGTTTCAAGTCCATAAATATAGATTTATACTTTGATAGATTTATAGATGTATAGAAATGTTTTCTTTAAACATATATACCACTTCAGTTTGATTCCAAGAGCTGCAGCGTTTCCTTCACACGGACACAAACACACGCTCGCCACAGAGACGTCAAATCATCCCCAATTAAAACCAACGAAGAAGAAACGTTGAATCCCTGATTATATACACGATGATTCTTCTGGACACGAACGGCGTCTACAAACCTTCCTCTATAAATTAATCATGAATCCTGGTCAATGTGCACGCGGCCGAGCGTCCCCGCCGTGATAAATGCTTCGCTGTTCATTTTTAAATAAGAAAAACAAAATATAAAACGCGCTAATTAAAAAGAAGAAAAAACGTACGAAGGGGAGGAGCTAAGCCGCAGCAAGAGAAAGAAAAAGAAAATGAGCGATCCAGTGGGCGGGGCCAAACAGACAGGGGGGAGGGGGGTGATGTCAGTAATAGAGGAGGGGAGGGGCGGGGCTTCAGTCCGGTGTGGCCGTGGAGCCGAGGGGCGTCAGCGTGGTGGGAAACATCAGCACTTTGGCCTGCATGAAGGAGAGGTCGGGCAGACCTGAGATCACTTTGGACGCCTCCTCGCTTAGATTCTCCTCTCTCCTCGGCTTCCTGTTCCCGACAAAATAAAAGCACGAGATGTCAACGAACCGATAACACAGCTGGAAAAAACAAAAACATGTTTCATCGCAAGAAAAACTAAAATGTTAATGATCACACTTAAGAATCAGTTTAACAAAAATAAGAGTTTAAGCTTGTATGTTAAGGGGTGTGGCCTCTTGACATTTCAACGGCTCCTTCATTCTAAGCGTTCCTCGTCTCTGATAGAAAACAAACAGGAAGCTCCTCTGTGACCTTGTACCTGGTGGAGGTGCTGGTCTTCTCCATGGTGGACATCAGGCGGGCGAAGGCGTCGGCCACCCGGCTGCCGGAGTTTCCCGGGTCCAGCTTAGCCGTGGTCAGCTCGTAAAGCTCGGGGTCGACACCTACACGAGGAGGAGGAACACAAAGTCAGCTGACAGAAACGCCTGATCAATATTCACTCCTACATTTGATTCACGGTATCCCGGGACGCGTCCTCTTTGTCCTGTAAGTGCTGCGTCTGTGGCGCCCTCTGTGGACACACGATGTCTTATTCATATAACCAGTTTGAAGGGCGATATTTACGCCGCCCCGTGACGTCTTCAATATGAAAGTCGTCCCACCTTGTTGCCGCCATCAGAGGTAGTAACAGAGGCGCAGAGACGGGATCTCTGTGAGGCGGCGGTGTGTGTGTGTGTGTGTGTGAAGCCGCCCCTTTACCCATGGATTCGCCATTGAACGCCATTACACAAAGTGAAGTCACACACGGCGTTGAGGAAAGTGAAAGGCGAGATGATAACGGAGCTTTGTTACGACGCCGTTTGCAGAATTGTAATCTAAAAATGTTTCCTGTGAATCTTTGCTGTGTGCAGAAATAATGCAGTTCTTTTGTAAGTTTTTGTAGTTCTTTTGTAAGTTTTTGTAGTTCTTTTAAAAAACGACTAGCCAAACCTTTAACCTCGGGTAAACTCGGGTGTCCATTAACGTCGTTTTCAGTTCTCGAATGCACTTCCACCAACTCGAGTCAGCTGACCTCATTTGTTCCTGACTCTACATCGAGTCAAGACTGCTGACCCCGTTGTTGTCCCCATTAAAGACGTTAAAACTTCTCAACACTACGTGCTGCCAGTGCGTTACTGTCTTACATCGCCGGAGCGACGCTAAACGCTTAGTGGCGCTGCTGGCGAGCTCTGGAGACGGACCGCGGCGCTCTCTGTGGAAACGGGAGCATTGACTAGAGTGGCAGTGAACGGCGATGCCCACAGAGTCTGGGGAAACTGGGAGCTACTTGCACAATGAGAGTTTCATGAATGACATTTTGAAAGGGGCCACCAGATGGCGCTGGTCTAAACAAAGTCCAGAACTTTGGTTCTCTCCAAGTTCATACATGGTCCGGTTTTCTCCCACAGACCAGCTTAATGAGTTTTAAAGAATGAGAGGCAGGGATGAAGGGGTTAATGTGAAGACGGGGGACGACAGAGGAGGAGGCTGGGAGCAGCTGCTGACCTGGGATGGAGGTTGAGCTGGTGGAGCCTGAATCCTCCACAGGACCAAAGAAATCCAGGTTTAACAGAGAAGAGCCTCCGCTCGCTGCACAGCCAGGGGGCGATCGAGGTTAACAGCCGGAGAGAAAGAGAGAGAGAGAGAGAGAGAGAGAGAGAGAGAAGACCGGAGACATGCAGCAGTGTGAGTGATCAGTCAGCTACATGAGGAACGTTAGATTTAACTCTTTAATAAGACGAGAGTTCATGCAGAGCAAAGCAGCCATGTTGTTTCTCAAAGGAAAAATCCACCTTTACATCCAAACACTGCAGATAGAAAACTGTCGAGTCGCCCACATTCAGGGTCGTCACGAGACCAGAACCCACAATACAACTTTAAGGAGTAGTATGTAACTCTGACCCTAGTTTTTAAAATGGGTACTGTAGTCTAAATTCTAAACATCATATAGAGCTGTCTCCCCCCTCCTCTCTAGAGTGGATGCTCACTCAGGTCACCATGTGGTGGACTCTGAAGCTTCAGTGTTTATCCAGCTCTGCATGGGTCTGTAAACCTTTCTGTGTTCTAACCTCTCTCCATTTTTCAAAAGCATCTCCAATATTGATCCTAGTTTGAGCACGTTTCTGCTCGTGGAGCTTATTAGAAACATGCAGAGGCTTTTTAGGTCGGGTACAATCACTTCTATCTGAACCACTTCTCTTGACCGCTTCCATCGCTGCAACACCTGTTGACCTGATAACTGCTCTCATATCTGACAAACAGAGGGGCGTCCAAAACGGCCGTGTGGTGGTCGCCTTAAAAGCGCCTACCTTCTCTGGTCCAAACAAATCCAGAGCATTCAGGAGCAGAATCTAAAGTTAGAAGGAGGACATACTGGCTGCTGCATTGTTGTCAGAGAAGCCAGCACTTCAACATAGCATGTTTCCTTAATGATCAGAGAGTAAGATACCTTTATCATCTCACTCTCTACACAGCTCACTGATTGGACCTTTAAAGGAGTTTGAAACCGTCTTTGATGAGGGTAAAGTTTCCGTTCTGTTGCTCATATTGAGAAAAAATTAAAAGTTGAGGAGTTTTAGATTCTTTAGGATAAAATGGATTTTTCCTTTAATAAAGACGTTTTTGTTTGATGTCACCAGCCTCTCCTGCGGAGTTCATCAGCTGAGACTGACAGGAAGTGGCCGGTGACATTTTGTCTACGAGGTTAGTAAAGTGTGAGAAACATCGAGAAGAAGGGGAGAAACAGAGTGTTCAGGGCGGAGGAGACGGGGCGGGGCGGGGGGGGGTCACCTACCGTCCAGAGGGTTAGTAAGGCCACTGCTGCTCCAGTCGAACTGGACGGGTGGGAGCGCCTCCTGCTGGATGAGAGAGAGAGAGAGAGAGAGAGAGAGAGAGAGAGAGATACAGTTGGAGTCGCTCAGGTCTCAGAGATTTAAAGGGACTCAAATAAGTGTTTTCTATGAATTAAGAACAATGTTAATATTACTAACGCTCAGGCCGAGAACACCTGTTGTTTATTCTGAGCGTCTTTTTTTCAGTTGTGTCAATGTTTAGAGAGCAGCAGAAAGCCGCCGACTGGATGAGCGGGTCCCTGTGCTGCCGCTCTCGACCCGTTTCTGAGAGGAGGCTCAACAAACTCTGAATCAACGACCTACAAGACGACTGAGCCTGATCTGGGAAGGTTTTGAGTTTCCAGTTTGAGAACAGCTGATTTGAGTTCATTCTATAAACTCTGGGTTCATTAACGGAGCCCTGATACTACGATTCATGAAGGGCTTTTATTTTCAAATATAAGCAATCTAACTGCTGAACGTTCCCCTTCCGAGTGTTGGGTTTGTCTGAAGCCGTGCTGAGGTCCCACCTGGACTGGGTCTGGGGTCCCGGAGGTTTTCTCTGGAGCAGCTGGAGGCGCCTGTGCTATCGAAGCGATCATCTCTGCTGCAGAGACGGGCTTCACGGGCTCTTTGGTGGGTTCCAGCATCCCCTGCACACAGAAGCACACAAACCCACCATGTTTGAGCTTAAAGATAAAAAACAATCAACAGACAACGAGCTGCCAGACATTTTAGCTCTTTGGTGGACACACGACTGGATGGATACGTATATGCAGAGTGTTGGATGAAGGGTGCGTTATGTTGGCGTGACAGAAACTCACCAGGCTGGCGGCGTACATGGGCACGATGACCGGCTGCTTCTTCTGTCCTGTGAACAGCTGAGCACACAAAGACGGTAAAGGTTAGAAAACATCCTGCTGGAAAGAAAACTGGAGGGCTGCTTCAAGCTGAACTCTGATTGGTTCTCATGAAAACCACGCTCAGTACGTAAACTCTGCCACCAGGGGGCTCTCAAAATATTAACACAAAGATGACATCGAGGCTGGCGGGGAATAGGGGTGCTGGTGGCTCAGTGGTTCAAATCCGGCCTGTGGCTTCTCTGTCTCTCTCTGTCTCTCTCTGTCTCTCTCTCTGTCTCTCTCTCTCTCTCTCTCTCTCTCTCTCTCTCTCTCTCTCTCTCTCTCTCTCTCTCTCTCTCTCTCTCTCTCCTCTCTCTCTCTCTCTCTCTCTCTCTCTCTCTCTCTCTCTCTCTCTCTCTCTCTCTCTTCTCTCTCTCTCTCTCTCTCTCTCTCTCTCTCTCTCTCTCTCTCTCTCCTCTCTCTCTCTCTCTCTCTCTCTCTCTCTCTCTCTCTCTCTCTCTCTCTCTCTCTCTCTCTCTCCATTAAAGGCCCAAAAATAAATCTTAAAAAAAAAGAGGCTGGCAGGGAATCATGGGAGTTCTCTCTGCTAACCCCCAGGTCGGCACTCCGGAGCTGTACTTAAATTGCCACGCGGACGCTTCGAGGAGACGTTCTTTTTCAGCATGAAACAGACAGACGGTTTTCACCGTTCTTCCTGCGATGAATTCACTGCAGTCGTGTTTTTATTTTGGATGATGTGTTTAACTGAGTTTGTGTAAATATGACGATGTGCTGACGGCAGATTTGTTCATGACGGTGACAGACTGGGACACGGCTGGTCATGTTACCCCCCTCCTCTTTACTACCCTCTGAAGTCACTAAGGACAAAAATGTCCACTTCTAAGAAACTGCTATAAAAATAGAACAGATTGATATTTGTTTCTACTTTTTTCTGCATAAATCTCTTAAACAACTCCAGCCCTGCTCAGAAATATCAAATATTTAATAATTATCAGGAATTGAACCCTTTAAATGCCAGTTTGATTACTTGATTCTGGCATT